TGTAAACAACTTAGTTTCATCAGAGCACAACAAACAGTTATCATCTCATCAACTCAACTATCAACTCATTTCAACTTTAAATAACACAGTCAACTCAACAGCTCAACCATCACAAAGTAACATCTTTTCAACACATAGTGCAACATACAACTTTATAACAACATACAAAACTCATCTAACAACTTAGTAACACAGTCTACTAACAACTTTTGGATCGTCTCAACACATCTACACACTTCGCATCATGCTCCTCACAACTCACAACATTATCATCATGCACTTCACAACTCTCAACTAAATCATCTCATCATATTTCATAACATATAAATATTTTGTTTAAAAAGGCTAAAATTACTGACAATAGAGCTCGAATCTAGACACATACTTACGTGGAGAAAATCTTAAGTCTTCTCCATAACTAATTGGACAAACCACCTACTTGTTCTTTTTGATTAGTTTTTAATACATTACAATGCGCTTCCTTACTTTTTTCTCTATCAAACATAATATATAACCGTTTTGACGGAGTTTTTTTTATTCGCACATTTATTTTAAAGTTTCGTGTCGAAATAAAATCTCAATACAGATTAACATATTTTATTATCTTTTTATTTTAATTTATTCTAAAATCTTGGAAATATTTAAGTTAACATCGTTAAAAAACACCATTATAAGATTTTAAAATTTATTTTTAATATAATTATTTATAAAAAATACTTTTAACCATCATATTCACCAAAAATATATTTTTAATTAAAATATATTTTAAAAATCTAGTATCAGAATATTTATTATGATTTTAGTTATAATTTTTTATAATCTTTTGATTTAATATTGGATTTCTTTTGATTATAAAACATAGTAAATAAAATCTAAAATCTGTATCAGTTTATTTGATACAAATATTTAATTAATTTTAAGATATAATAAATTTAATATCAAAATATTTATTATGATTTTAGTTATAATTTTTATAATCTTTTGATTTAATATTAGATTTCTTTTGATTATAATATTTTAAAGCATTTTATTTGAAACATAAGTTAACATATTTTATTATCTTTTCATTTTAAATTATTGTAAAATAATTATAATATTTAATTATCATTCACTTACTTTATTAAAAAGTGATAAAATATAATTAATTTTTAATTAATTTAATAAAATAAAAACTTTAAAATATATATCTAAAATCTGTAACAATTTTTTAAATACAAATATTTAATTAATTTTAATATATACTAAATTTAATATCATAATATTTATTATGATTTTAGTTATAATTTTTATTATCTTTTGATTTAATATTGGATTACTATACATAATTATTTATTCCCTTTAAACATACAAATAGGTAAAAAGAAAAATACTTAATTTTGTTTTACTAAAATATAGGCAAATCTAATTAAATAAACTTTATTTGATTCTTTTAATAAAAAAAACGCTATTTGAAATAAATATGATTAAGAATATTTGATACAAAATCTAAAATTTATACACTTTATTAATTTTTTTAATTTTTAGCATTATGAAAAAAATAACTATTATAAGATATATCGTATCTTATCTACTGTATAAAGAATTTGAATTTAACGAAAATTTTAATAAGTTGAACAAATTAAAATTCATTATACAAATAAAAAAATTATTGTAAAAACTAAAATTAAATAACTTAATTAAAAAATGACTATAGTTAATAATTTAATGTAAAATTTATTTAAAAAAGTGTTTTTGAAAAAATCTGAAAATAAATAATAAAACACTCCAAGCGCGCCCCAACCATTTGATTTTCTCTATTAGACTCCGAAGCGTGTCCGTGACGGACAAAAAAAGTAGGGCAGTTAAGGTTCCTCCATTTCATTTCCTCGGCGGGGCTGCCGCTTGGGCTGCTGCACCAGCCGTTGTCCCCTTTTGTCTCCCTAGATTTGAAGGCATTCTCCGTCGAGCTTGCCCTCTCCTTCATCCTCCTCTCGTCACTACTTCTTGTCGCAGCAAACTTCTCGGAGTTGATGTCGTGCAAGGAGTCAAAGCAAAACAAGTGTGAGTTGGGTGTTGAGAAATAGGGTAAGCTTTGATTTTTTCCGTTAGGCTAATTTTGTGTACATTTAAAAACTTCTCTTTTACTTTTTTGTTTGTTATTGTTAACGTTCTTAATATTATTGTTGTGCAGATGGTACATAACCTTCGAGATCTTGTCACTCAAATGTTCCTGCACTTCGTCACTCTCCGCCAGGTACTCTATTTCGCAACTCTTATTCTCTAGTCTAGGGTTTATGACTCTCTTCGTTTGTTTTCAGGCAAATCGCAATATCTTGCTTGAGGAAGACAGAGTGAAAACCGAAACGGAGCGTGCCAAGGCTCCCGTGGATTTCACATCGCTGCAGCTTCACAACCTTATGTACGAGAAAAGCCACTACGTGAAGGCAATCAAGGCTTGCAAAGACTTCAAGTCCAAATATCCCGAAGTATTCATGAAATTTCTACTGACAATATTTAGAGGAGCAATGAAGGGAAAGCTTATTGTGAACGTGTACCAAAATACCAGATACTGTACAAGGATGTTTAAAAAATAAATTCAATCTCTGTTTCCTTTTTTTATTTTCATAGGGGTGGGGATAATTAACTTGAAAATACTCCAATGGTAAATATTGTTCTGTTTTTGTTCTTCTCTTCCTTTTTGCTTAGTATGTGCTTGACTCATTGAGTTGAGCTCTTTTGTATATATTGGATTTTTCATATTATGTTGCTTTCATGAAATAAGAGTTGGTCATTCTTTTATTTATTTATTTTTTCTTTAGAAAGAAAAATATGTACCTATATTTGTTGGATTGTAGGTCCAGGATCTGTATGCTGACCTGCGAGTGTGATATATTATATATATTTATCTGATTTGGATAAGCTTGCATGAAATTGGTGGTAGAACTGTGGAATTGCATTGTGAAAAATAATATTTACATAGCTTTTCAGCAAACTGTATATCACGCAAAATCAAAATAGAAAACGTTGATCATTGCGAGCATTGTTAAAAACAAGCATGATTTTGTTTACTTGTTGTTTTGGTTTAAGTACTCCACAAGTAAAAACTTGTAAAAATGGTTAATTTTATTTTATATAATTAATTATTAATATAAACCTTTCCTTGCATGTGGTAGTCATCAGTTTGTAACCATTAAAAACTTTCCACGGAATGAAAATAACTTACAAGAAAAGGTGAAACAACTTTTATTTTCATTTTATTGTTAAGTCACCTTTATCCAAATCTTTTGTTTTTTAAAAAATTTCAGAAACACCTAAACCATACTATAGAGCCATATCAATGAAATTATTTTTGACTACCTTTCTTCATTTTTCATTTAGTTAATAATCCATTAATATTTTTCTTCACAATAAATTAAAAATTTTGTTTAGCAATGTTTATGTTGATGTGAACAGGTAGGTATAAATAAATTCCTTTTACTATTTATTTACCCTTGCACTGCCATCATGAACAGGTACAGAGCAACTTGTAAGAATGTTACATGCTTTAACAACAATATTTTATGTTATATTATATGCTTTCATACCTAGCTGTGAGAATGTTCTTCTGAGGTTATGATTAAACTTGGATTTAGTTTCTTTAATGTGAGGGACACCCTTTAAAGGATAAAATGTAAAGTTATCACCATTGATTAAAAAAAATCAATAAAATAGAACAGTTTTGTGATTTATTACCCAAGTACATGTATTTTATAACAATTTAGTTAAGAGATTTTCAATGGTGGCTAATACCCGGTTACAGAATTAACAGAGTAAAGAGATTTTGATTGCTTCAATTAGTGAGAAATCAAATCTGCTTGGTATTTGTCTAGTTCAACATGCACAAATTCATGCAGAAATAGTAAAATGCTTCCTACAAGAGTAAAAGTGCATCATTGAATGAAAGGTTAAACAATTGTGGATCATTGAACAAGAAAAAAAATGAAAACCAATCACATGAGTTCTCAAGTTAAGCAAAAAAACCAGCAGAGCATAGAATATGTGCCCTCTTGCATCTTGAATTTCACCCTTAATTTCATTCTTATGCTTTCTGGAGGATATAAATTGAAGAATATAATTCAATTCCTTGATTTCTTAGTTATAAGTGAGATTTATTTTTGTTGTTGTTTTTGTTAAATTCTTGGTCTAATTTTATGGACAAACATTGGTATGTGTTAAGAGTTGTGTGATTGATACCTTTACTACTATGTTTTTGGGTTACCGATAACACTTTATATACTCCTTTTGGATACAAGTTCTGTTTCAATTCATTTCATGCCATGTTTTCTTTCTTTTTCCTTCTTTTATATTGTTGAGGAATAAACATTGAGATAATCATTGGTCATGGTGTGCAGGATGTCAGAAGAAGCACCATTCAGACCACGTGAGAAGCTTATTGAGAAGCAAAAATATTTCCAGAATATCCCCAAGCATACCTACTTGAAGGGACCCCTTGATAAGGTTACGTCCGTGGCCATACCACTGGCTTTGGCTGCATCATCACTTTATCTGATTGTAAGTTCAATTGTAATATCAATTTTCACTTGTCTCTGTTGACTTCATCAGATTAAAATTATCAGTGCATCTCCAACTTTCCATTTGCTTCTAATCATATTTTATGGACACTGTTTTGTGTGTTATTTTCCAGGGACGAGGGATCTATAATATGTCACATGGAATCGGAAAGAAAGAATGACATGGGAATTTCGGACTGAGGATGTGGGTGTTTTGCCACACAAGCCAAGCAGAACCTTCTTAATATGGACAAGTGGTTTTTTTAGCATTTATGTTTTTTCTCCTAATAAAATTGCTTAGTTGCAGACTTTGACCATCATTGGGGGTTTATAACTTGAATGAAAGTGTATTTTTTTTTGTATGTTTTATATAATCAATCGAGTGAATTAGCTCAAACTGCTGGTTTCCGATTCGGGTTTCGTACTTGCTGTGTGTTGACTATTCCTTTTAGGTTATACTTCTCCTTGCTTTACATGCGCTAGACAAGTTCAATGGTGTTCTAAGCTTTGTTAAACGTTTCAGTTTGCTTTTTGGCATGGTAGATAATCAAGTGGAATTGCCTGACCGGTAGTGCTTGCTTGTTTTGGTTCCATTTCCGTATAGGTAACCAAACATAAGCTGGCATGTCCTTCCATGTTTGGGGTTTAAAAGGTGAGAGCCTTAAGCTATTGGTGGTGACAGGAACATGTGAAACGGCTAAAGAAGTTGGATCAAAGTGAGGTTTGGATCTCGTAGCATTTGTGTTTAGTCTTGAAGAATGTTTGGTTTTCAATTGGAGAGGCCACCCCAAACCCTGGTTTTTGGATAAAATATTCTTTCTTGTAGGGTTTGCCCGTACCATGAGTCCATGATTTGGAGATTTCTAACTGAACTAAACAAAATCATTAAATATATATTTCTTGTAGTTTTTATTATTAGTTAAATGTTATATACTCCTTTTGGATGTTTTTAGTTAGTTGTGTATTTGATGACTTACTTTAGATGTTTTATATTAATTGTGGTTTAGAAAACTTTATTTGATTTTTACTATTAGTTATTAGTTAAATGTCATTTTTTTTAATTCTTTTTATTAGTTGTGATTTTGTAGATTGTATCATATATTATATATTTTAATTACTTTTATTATGATATTAGGACTATATATGCATTATCAACTTTAGTGTTATTGTTTCATTGTTAAACAGGTTCAAAATGAAAATGAAAATAAAATATATAGTGTTTAAGGTATAAAATTAGCGATCATGTCTAAAAATAAAGTAAGTCTAGCGGCCGAAAAAAATCAGTATTTTTTTTTCAAAAATAAAATTATGTTTAGCGACCGAAAAGAAAATTAATTTTTATTATAATAAAATTTACCGGCCGATTTAATGACCGAAATGAATTTTTTTTTTAAAAATAATAAAATTTAGCAACAGATTTAGCAACCGAGTCAGAAATTATTTAAAAAAAAAAATAAAAAAACACACTTATTGACCAATTTAGTGACTGAAATGAAAATTATTTTTTAAAATAATAAAATGTAGTGACCGATTTAGCGACTGAATTAGAAATTATTTTTTAAAAAAAATAAAAAAACACACTTAGCGACTAATTTAGCGACCGAAATGAAAATTATTTTTTAAAATAATAAAATTTAGTGATCGATTTAGCAACTGCAATTAAAAATAATTTTTTATTTTGAAAAATGTTAGCAACCGACTTTGCGACGGAAAGGAAAATCATTATTTAAAAATTTAAAAATAAATAACACATTTAGTGACCGATTTAGCGACCTTTTTTTCGGTCGCTAATTTGGTTCCATATACTATGACGACCATAATCGTAGTGACCAATTAGCGATCGAAAATTTCGGTCGCTAATTAGCGACCACCAGTATTTTCGTCGCTAAACAACTTTGCGACCAGGGTTTTTGCAACTACTTCAAATCGGTCGCTAATTCGGTCGCTAAAGTAAATAGCGACCGATTTAAGCAATTTAGCGACCGATTTTTGTGGTCACTAAAATCCTTTTTTTTTGTAGTGATATTTGAGAACATTTCAAAAATAATAATGATGAAAATTAATTTCGTATAATGTTTATGTATTTACTATTGCTTTATTTTATTTTTTAATATCTACTTATTGTGTATTTTTTTCTCGTAATTTATTTTCTTTCATCGTAGTGTAATTATCCTTTTTAATAAAAATTTAAATTTGGTTCATAAATGATTAGAAAAAAAAAATTTAAAAGTTGAATTTCATAAGGTTTCTTACCATTGGAGTAAATTTGTATTTGAGTTGCTTAATGCTGACATGACACACTAGAGACTACTTTTTTCATTTTTTAATGCATGAAGCAACTCAAATAAATCTTACACATTTTTAAATGAGTTGCTTGCATTGGAGATGCCCATTAATTTTATAAATATGTAATATTTAAAAAAATGAAAAAGGTTTATTTTAAATTTTTTTTCTATATTTATTAAATAAACTTACACATTTTTCAATTTTTTAAAAATAAATTATATTTATTTATCAAATTTTTTTAAAAATATGAAAAACCAAACATAAAAAATAGATAAATAAAAATATTTTTTTTTCATTTGTTTAAGATTTTTCATTTTTTCATAATGGTTCATGCATGTGCCACGTTGATCAAATCCTTTGGTGTTATTATTGTTGTCTTTTTTTTATCACTATATATTTCATCATTTTTTTAAATATTTTTTAAGCTAAAAATATATTTTTCTTTCCTTATATTATTTATTTGTGTCAATTTAGTCTCACTTTAATTAATTGAGTCAATTTAGTCTCATATCTTTAAAATATATCTCAATGTTTGATTTTCTGTATCTTTCGTTTAAATACTTAACAGATTTAACTCGTGTCATGTTATATGTCATATTGTCGTGCCACGTGTCATGCTATCATGTCACTTGTCATGTCATCATGGCATATGTTATGTCGCATGTTATAATGTCCAACCATATGACAATGACAAATAATTATATATCGTGATATACTTGATATGTACAATATAAATTGCAATAAAAATTATGACAAATAATTAAATGTTGAACAATGAAATAATATGATTACATAGACACCACAACAAAATATAATTGACAAATTTCTACTTAGCTGATGAAATATGACTTCATTTCAAATGGTTCTTTGCTTGCAACATTATTGATATTGCTTAGATATATGGATTGAAAGTTTGAAATGATAACAAATTATCCAATGAGAAGAACAGCAAATTGGGAAACCACACAAATTTATCATAATGAGAAAGAGGACAAACGTGGAATAAAAACTCAAACAAACAAGGTAAGTTTGCCTTGTAGAAATTAATACAATGTAAGTAAATATTCTGAAAGCAATGGAAAATCATTTAAATAACATAAATTGGATAAAGAAAAACTAATTGTTCTTTGGATAATGATAGCTGAGTATTGTATAACAAGTCTGGATGACAGTGAGAAGAGTTATCAACGCAGCAGCAAAGTTGTAACCGCGCCTTAAAAACTTGTTCAGACCGTAAAGCCATTCTGAAAATCGGCTCAAATAATGCCACACAATTATGGGAAAGCCTATGAAACAATTTGTTGCATAATAGGTGTTGAGGGCATGAATCATGTTCCAGTAAGTTGAATGAACAACGCCACGGTCAACACCATTTGTGATGGAACGAAGAAGATCCATGAGATGGTGATTACTCATACCCAACTCATCTACGATGATTCCCTTGTTTTTAAGCAGTTGAACGTCGCTTGCACAGCATATCAAATCATTGTAGAGCAACGCCCGAACAGTGAACAAATCTCTTCCAACACTCTTTTTCCACCTGGTAGTGTGAAGCTCCCAAGCAATAAAATTTCGCCACTTTGCTTCCATGGTTTGAGTGATATGCAAGGGAGGAACTTCTAGCACCCCATTGCTTCTGCTGAATTTTGGAATCATAGAATTCTCTTCAGTTTTGACTATAGTAACCCCAGCGGCTAAGAGGCTAGTGGCACAAAATTTGGGTTCTATTTGTTTATTAACATTAACTTCAATATCAATAACACATGAGCCATGGTGGCTTTGGGGATTGAGAATGAAGGAGTGAACAAGTTGAAGAATGTGAGAGGCATCAATGGGATCGGGAATAGAGGTAGAACTTGAATCACGAGAGTAGCCAAAAAGAGACAGCGCCAAATCTTGTGTAATACTAACGTAAATCTTGCCGCGAAACGGGTCATCAGGAACGAGATGGGAAAAAAACATACCGAAGACGTTAAAAAGAAGAAAAAAGGGTATCTGGTTTTCTAATAAGGTGAGATCGCTCAAGATGAGTTCCATATTCCCGAGTTGAGCTGCTGGGCTAGGAGGGAGTGTGTCATTGTTGGGTTGTAGCTTTGAATTCCATTCCACAGATTGAGAAATGAAAAGCTCTAAGAGAAAGCAAGCGTAGTGTAACATAATGGTGGCTAGACCGTAGCTGTCCAAATCGATTTGTTCCCCATAGCTAGTGCGAACAGTTGCGTCTAACGTCAAGATGCGTCTCATACAGCAATTTAGAATTGCCTTCCATTGGTGAGAAATGCTTCCTGTTCTCTTAAAAAGGTGCACCAAGCAACGCAACTTGATGTCTTCCATTGGTAGAAGTTCCTTTCTTCCCTTGAACCGGGGCCCGATCGACACCACCTTTGGCTCGTACTCTTTCTCGCTCCATTTCCCAAGTTCCTCCGGAACAATGGGAATGATGTGTGGCTGACACTCATTGTTGTATATGGCACCCAACAATAACATTGTTGCGTCTTGCCATGTATCCAAATCTGCGTGAGTGTCAATGCCCATCGCCTGCAATTATGGAAAAACATAGTGAATGAATGAGTGGTTAGAAGATTGAATATTAGAGGTGAAAGGGAAAAAACACCCACACTGACACACAGTTGAGGAAAGACTCACTGCCCCTTTGTTAATACCATGAGGCCACTTCATTACACCATCATATATACTGTTTTTTTTTTTTAATATGTTGAAAACAAAAAGAAACAGACATCAAAATAAATTAATTACACCTTATAATTAAAATGTTACTCCTGATAAGAGCTGAGACTCTGACTCACTCAGAAGATTTTCTAACTCTAAAAAATGGACCAAAAGTATATTTTATTTTTTTTTAACTGAATAATCTCAATTAAGTTAAAAGACATGTATACTTAAGATAGGTGAGAGAAGTGATTCATTCTAGTTGGGTCATTGTGCACCCACTTCTTGGACTTATTACACTCTGTTTTGCATAAAATTGATTTAATTACTGTGACTGTTGAGGACAAACTTGAAGATATTATTGATATTATAATTGTTGAGGACGAACTTAACGATATTATTGAGAACATAGATTATGAGAAATTTTTCATTGGACAATTG